AGAGAGAGAGAGACAGAGATTGATTACAGTATATTTATATCATGATATAAACACACCTGACACAAAGGACATATAAATGTCAATGTAGGTTTGGGGTTCAGTGGTCCGAAAACGGCTTTGCTGCGTAGCTGCTTGAGGCTGCGCATGCGGAGCGCCGGGATCCAAGGGGGAGGTCAACATCTCCATGAAAGAAGGGTATTTTCCCAATGAGTAAATTAACAGATTGTGTATTCTCTCCTGCCACGTAGCCGCGTACGGCGTAGGGGTTCCCCTCCTATTGTGCTATGTTCACACATGGCCGTCGGGTGAACCAGGACGGTGCGGCTGTTTCCTGTACCGACGGCCGGTGCTATGAGCGGTCTGAGAGGACATGTCCGGAGAGTCTGAGCGGAATGGTCCGTTGGGCCAGAATCCATACCACATCCACTGTAAACCAGGAAGAAAATTGAATAGATAACCCTGCATGTGGATAAAGCGTCATATGTGTCTCACCTTAGGTTTTTCTCCTCAAACACAAACACCACGTGTTGCAGTATATAGCACTTCAGAACGATAATAACACAACCTCATATATGGAGTCTCCCGCAGATGCTTCAGCTTTCCCAGTTTTCCTGGCCCTACCTCCTTAATTCCTTCCCCTAACTCTCCCAACTCAAAACTCCTTGACCTTGCCAAACAGACTCCCAACTGGTGCTTTTTGTCAGGTCAAAGACTTGGCCATTTTGGATCCAGAGTATGAGGCGTGTCCCGCGGCTGAAACCGCGTGGTCCCGGACCTGTCCGATCACCGACCGGTCGCGTCTCCCCCGTCCACGCCACTCCACGCGGCGGAGACCGAGCCAGAGCGTCGAGCGGCCGAGCCATGGCAACAACGAGCGGTATGAGACATACCCAGACACGACCTGTCTGGGACTGCCATAGGACTGCCGCCCCATTGACCCCTAAAACCACCCCAAGTTAGGCATATATGGCAGTCCCATGGAGTGTCTGGGATATTTAAAGCTGATACGTCAGAGTAAAGGTCAAGTGAGAATTATGTTGATCAGATGGAAGATCAGATCACCTCGACCTCAATTGCACCGCATTGTAGAGTAGATGAGGTCACAACGTTCTTTGCATAAGCTATCACGGCAATCATCCCATCATGCCCTATTGCTTCAATCAGTACTTTTCTGCCTGATCTGCCGTTTTGCTTCGAAGGCGTGCAACAATGCCTTCGAGCGGGCGCTGGTGTTTTTGCACAAGATGCCCAGAATTTGGCCAGGACCTTACAAAGGACGAGCTACAGAGATTGATTCGACTGCTACAAAGGATTTGTGATTTGACTCTTGAAGATTGTGTTTTCTTTGGGCCGACTATTGTGCAGGTTCTATCCCAACGACCTCACATACATATAAATCAATCATACCATCATGCAAGCTGCGTCTCAGCGTCCCGGGGAGAATATTGGGATCGGGGAGCCGCGCCTTGTTGTCCTTCGAGTCGATCAGGCTTCATTACATCGACTTTCTCATGAAGCAGAAAAAGATTACACGAGCTCGACGCGCCTTGGATCGTGCCAGTGTCTCAGAGGGAACCTTCTGAAACCATCAACCTTGTGAGGGCGCTTGGTCAAGTGCTTACGTTGCCAATCTTCATTCATTGAGTTTGATGCAACTACCTGTGCTCTCCACACACGTAATGATGAATAAAACCACTCCACTCCATGTGGATTGTAACACCTGTTCAGGCCGGGGGGGTTCATGAATGAAGCGTCTACACAAGTCTACACGGCTGCGTGGAGACTTCCGGTCTTTCCCACGCACCCCGATCTTTCTCTAAGGCCCTCCGATCTTTGCCCATCACACAGCACGCACGGATTTGGGTGCTGCCGGCATGGCTTGTCACGGTATCCGACGAGGCGTTTTTTTGGGGTCAAAGCTTTTCTGAGCTCTCGGGATCTCAGGAGCTCTATGTGAAGTTCATCAAGGATGGCGAAGTGCCGAAGGCCGGGAGCAAGAAATCAGTCATTCTCCACACTTGTCGAAAGGATACACCTTCTTACACTTGTCTCCATAGTGCGGTGGCATCAAGGATGCAACAAATTGTTCGAACAAGCAAAGCTAGCAACGATTGAAGGACCATAGGGTCATACTGGTTCCAATTGACAGTGCATATGTGCGCGATGTCACTGTCACATGGATTCTGAACACTAAGGGTCTTTTTGTCCATTTTGCCCACTGCCAGCATTTGGTGAGATAAGAGAAATTGTGCTTTGGTGACGGCCCACCCACTTAGGCACCGTCCCCGCTTTCCGCCAGGAGACCGCCTTGTGTGCCTTCCGGCGGTACCTCATGTTGGAGCCAGACCACGTGGAGGTGCCTTGACGGCGCGTGCGGACTCCAGGTCATGGGGCGGCCAGCAAAAGGTATGTCCAGCCATCCGATGACTCAAGTTAGCCCACCTATAGTAATTAGAAGAAAACACGTGTATGATGATCCACTGAAACAAAGGAGGTCATAGATGGGCCCCTTTTTAGGGTATAGCTCGATTCGTGTAGGCTTAGGCAGAAAAAAGACATCTCCATAGGCTGGCAGGGTGTTGTAGAGTGTGTACATCCAATGCGTTGAACAATCATCTAGTTTCACCTGACTTGAGTTCCTTCAAAAAAGGAGCCTCCTACAAACATGTGCTGATACAGACACGGATGTTCGTGATCCTTCACTTTTTGTGCCAAAGGGGTACTGTAATCAATGAGAACACCTAGCCTATATACATATATATAGAGAGATGAGATCTTCGGTTGTTCTGGTTTCAGACAGAGTGGACATCCATTCTCGAGTAGGGTGCTGCTTGTCATCATCCCGTGGAACGACGCGTTGGTCCTATCAAAGCACGCTGTAAAAGCCTTATTTTTTGTGCAGCGGGGTGGATTGAAATGGGCTTGACACAAGGAGCCTTGCTCTCCCCGAACGGGGGGAGACCAAAGGATCCTGAAGAAAGCCTTTTTGCTCGCTTTCTTTCAGGGATGTTTCACAGGATTTGTAATGGGAGGCAGCTTCAACCTGTATCCTACTAACACATAGTACACACATGTATATAATTGTGTTGAAAGAAGAGTCGTTCAACGCATATCAGCGATTCAAAACACAGAGAACATGGGGCGGAATCCGCAAAAGCCAGTGCCAAGCGGATGGATTGGCTGGGGATACACTCTACCAGCTATTGCACTCGAGATTGGGATACGTTTGAACATCCAAGTACGGTCGCAAGTAAGTATGGCCCCATGGCCCAGCTGCACAGAACACTAAACCTAAACAAAGAAAGGACAAAACAAGCCATGATTTGATAGGAAGCTGCTCAAAGGTTCTAGGAGGAATACTGACACTCCAACTTCCCCACGAAAGTCGAACAGGGCTCCGGTGCCGGTGCACGAGACGTTGACATGCAGGTGGTTTTGGGGGCGCCACCGTGTTTGTGAGAGCACATGAGGAAGCTCGGGAGCTATAATAGCAGACACGACTGGTATATATATATATTATATATTATATATGTATACCAACTGATTTTAAGAACGGGTCAACCACCCCAACTGATCAGCATATATTCCCATCGGTCGTGTTTGACATGATATATCCCCGCCGATTCCCTGCAGCTTCCGAGAACGTTGTGTGCGGAACGCACCGCGCGGTGCGCCCCCGCGCGCGCTTCGCGCGGCATCGACCGCCGAATCTCCACAGCCTGCAGATCTACATTGCCTACCTGAGAACCATCGGGCCATTGGTCTCAAGGGACTTGCGGGAGCAGGGAGAGGGGCTGCTGTTAGGCGGCATCAGAGGGATGCAGAATTCCAAGAGGTTAATATAAAAAAACAGCGGCTCAAGTGGTCAGAGTGAGGGGCAACAACACTACCTACTCTTCACTGGTACCAGACTTGGCCAAGGAAATGGCTCAAATGTAGAGTCCCAGCCGTAGCAGCCCTTACCTGGTACCTCCTTTGATCAATGGAAACATTATCACGGAATCTTTGGTCACGGACGGCCTTATTCACACCTTCTAAGATGGCGACTCGTCCACCAATCTGACAATAACATATTTTTGTGGTAGAAGATGTCTTCCAACCTTCTGGTCAGCCAGACTGTCCAGACTCCTTTAAAACTCACTTACTCAGGTGGAAATGCCAAATAAAATACACAATGCCAAAGGAAACACCGGGCCCGGCTTCTGGTCAGTTGTCTACGCCCCGCGGGTTTCAGGCGATATGATGAAGCGGCTCAAAAGCTTGCCAACGTGGTGGATGACGAGGACATCGTTGGAGCCAAACCGGCGTCGTAAAGGTTTACCCTTCAGCGAGGTTTACGCATGGCAGTCGATGCAGATGCCAACTGTATTGTAGGTTTGGGTCACTCTGGAAAAGCTACACATATACTTTATGCCGTGGGAATTTGACATTCATGAATCAATTACAACAGAACTGGATCTTAAAAGGGAACACGCCAACGCTTTCCTTGTTGTGCACCCAAAATCCTCTAGGGGTTCAGCAGGTTGGATGTCGCTCCATCCTGAGGACTTTAGCTCCATGGAAGGGAAAACACGGCACCAACTGTGGATGGACCTTTGTGATCTTGTGGTGCCCTCAGCACTGGTGCACCAGTTTTGGGGGAAGGGCGCTTTAAACTGCCAAACTGCCCTTCCTGTCGGGTTGTTTCAAGTTCTTGAAAGACGTATGGATTGGCCAAGCTGGCTGCAACATGCAGCAAAAGCCTAGTATTAGTACTGTCATCTCAACACATTTTGCACAACGATATTGTCCCTGAGTAGCCTCTATATAATATGTTGCTGAATAGCTTGGCAGTTTCCAGGGATGGTGGTATCATCGGGCTAGATATAGATTAGTCTTAAACTCTATGAAAAGGACGCTAGGCAACTAGCCTTAGTGGTTGGGAGTCTAATTGTTTTATACGTTGGCATCAAGACCTGCAGTTGTTTCCAATCCTTGATGGCAGTTTTCGTCCATTGGATCACAGGGCGGCAAAGACTTCGGCAGCTGCAGAAAGGAGGGAACAACATGTTTGTTGGCTTCGAGAGCTAGCCTCGATGGGCAGGCCCTATTGATTGTCAATATTCAATGTCAATGACTCATTCCTGCAGCGCAGCTACCCACAAGTCAGGCAAAAGGTGTAAATTCCAAGCTCGCAACCTCCTTTCAAACAACAAGTTCAAGAAGCAACTCTTACGACAATTTACGACAGGCTTTCCAGACCATCACCCCAATGACCCTCTTACGATGGTTTGTTACTGTAGCACCCAGTGGCTCCTCTTAGACTTACGTACAGGCCTATAAGAAAACGACCAGGTACGTAGAATGATTTGTGGAATCAGGATCCTCATCCTTCGATGCTGGTATGACACCCATAGGATGAGGTCCACTCCTCCACTCTCCAAGGTCTCCAAGCACCCTGCCGACATCAAGGCATTGAACATTGAGTCGCGCACACCCAGCGTGCTACGCGATACGCGTCATGCGCGCGGGACGCCACGCGACGCGATGCGGGTCGGCTGTTCGATGTTCGGTGGGTTTGGACTCAACGGCACCTCCACTGAAACCCAACAGGTTGACAAAGGTTAACCCATGGTGAACCAGCATGGTTTTCCCCCCTGGTGAACCTTTCATTTCATGTCCAAGATCGATCTCTCCGGCTCTTTTCAACCAGCATTTTCCTTGAATGAGGTCCATCATCCGCAGTGGCATTCGCCAGTTCACCGACGAGGCAGTGGGCCAGTTCACAGCCTGTTGGGAGAACTTTTTGTGGTGTATGAGCCCTTCAACCGGAGGGCCCGGAGGGCACTCTCACAGCAGACCAGTGTGGTGTAGCTGGTGCATGCATATTGTATACATGCTTCGTAAAGCAGATCATCAACATTGTTCAACCCATTGTTACATTGTTGTGTTCTTTCTCGCCGTATTTCATCTAACAAAAAAAGCACGGCATGCTTCAAAGGATCTTAGATCCATTGCCTTTGGTCTTGGTGTCTTGATTGATTGGTGTTTGCCAGGTCGGTCGCCTGTGGATCTCCTTGGGCGATCACTTCATCAGGCGTAAGTGACCGTGACGGACCGCGACGGACGAGTGGCCACGGCCGCGACGGAAGTGCTTCGTGGTAGGCGAGCACAGAAGTGCTTGGCAAACGCATCTGCAGGCTTGTGTGCAGCCGAATGAATATCCAATGAATTCACAGGGCAATAGATTCATTTGGTGTGTGTTGGCATTGGTTAATATCTGTTTTTTTTTCCAGATCCACAAGGATCGGGGCCACTACAAAGTATCCTTTGAATTATACTGATGGGACTTGGTACACTGCTGTTTTCACTTGATGAGACGACGTAGACGACGCGAGCTAAAACACGAAACGAACCAATTCAGCAGCGGCCAAGGGAGGTTTGGCGACACCACTGACATCCGAATTTCCCAGGTGAGAGGGACATCCGAACAAACACCAGACCTGCACCTCCCAGATGTAAGTCCAGCATAGGTATGGTATGAATCGAATTCTTTATACATATATATATATATTTAGAAATATATACTATATGATTATATAAATAACACTTATGGGATGCTGGTCGCTTGGTTAAGTACCATGCCCAAAGAGTTTACATGCTGCCCGTTACTTGTTCTCTTTGAATATGCTGCCCTTCCTCTGGGATTCGTCGATGTTCCGTGACCGAAAGATCGGCGTCGCATGGCTTTCCATGCACCATTGGAGAACCAACGAAACTTGCATCACTTGGAATTTGGAACTGGAAGAATCCCAATGTGGTCGGCGGGCCGGGGGGTGACTGCGTCCGCTGGATGGATCAGAGTTGAGGCTTGGACAGTTCGAGAAGGCCCGAGACATCTACGAGGAAGCCATGGCGACTGTCAGTACGGTGAGCCCGACGCAGTAACTTGAGGGCGGCCACTTCTTTTTCCAAGATGGGCATGCACATGGGTTGAGTAAAGCATAGTAAAGCCATGTAAATCCCAGCAAAGCGCGTGCAAGGGGTGAGAAAACGCCTTTTGAAAGAAGAGGTCCTAAGCAACCTTGGAGTGGGGGGAGCACTCAAATCGTGGACTATAGTTGTTGGACAAAAAATCTGAGATCCACCAAACGACGTTTTTTTTGATGCAAACAGTGACTCACAGAAACGTCACATCCAAACGAGGTCCTGGTCAATTGGGGTTTTCACCGCTTTCTCCGTCCACCGATCTCGCCGGGTCCACGTCCACCAGGTCCACGACTTCTCGCTGATTTTCGAGTCGTGCCTTGGTCCTGACGAGTCGTCCTGACGGGTGAGGAATGTGAATCAACTCATTTGAAGCAACAGCAACTTCTGATTTATTGACACATTCACATTAACAATATTGATGTGTACGTAAATCATGTAGAGTAGAATGAGGTATCATTGATTATCATTATGCAGTTTATGCAACATATATACATATATCAAACTATGTTATATGTATGTTTGTTGGCACTGGTGATCGAGGTGTCTCCCTGTTTCTTCCTGCTGATATATAAGCCATGATGGGCCATGTGTGACCACTCGCATGGCTTCATCTATTTCATTCTTGCCATCGCCCTGGCGATGCCACTCCACTTCAGTGGCATTGGATCGGTGAAACAGCGGGTTTGGTCGCCTGAGGTATGCCAAGTTCCTGGAGAGCTTGATCTCTGCACATATGGAGCGAGAGGTGCGGAACGGCGGAGCGGCGGAGAGTTCTACTCTCAGTCGTCTGACCGGGAGTCAAGTGAAACACGGGTTTTCTGAGTGGACTGAGGTAGAGGCAACCTAGCCACAGCATGTTGCTGCTGAAGGATCTAGCATCATGTTAGATGATATTTAGTCCAACCAACAGGGCACCAAGTGCATGCCAGCTGCTGGAATTCTACTTCCATCAAAAGTGATTCGTTTCATTTGCCGATGCCCATGAAACGGTGGCGTCCCAGTGCCGAGTCTTGAACCAAATCTCACTGTTTCAGCTTGTGGCCCAGTGGCGAGCTGAGTTCAACTTTCGCCTGGATTCCTGGATATATCTATCTGCGTAGTGGCACAGTAGTGGGATTACCTGGAGGAGACATATTGACATGGCCACTGCCATTGTGTTTGTTGGTGTTTTGACATCAAGCCTAAGTCCTAAGTTGCTGGGAGCCCTCAACAGGGCGACAGTGGAGGCTGCCAGTCCTGCTTGATGCTGCCAGGAGATGCTTAAGCGGGACCAAAAGTAGGACCCACTCGACGGCTGGCAGTAGACTGAACGGTTCATGGGCCATTGTTCCCTTCAAACCAGGCTACAGACCAATGAAAGGAGCAAGAGTTCACCGTGTCTTTGACTCTTCGAGTTGTGCATTCCACTGAACCAATTAGAAGCCACGACTTTGCCAAGTCAGCCACCCGCAAAGATTGGTCGACCGTCTCTTCAAGTATATTTGACCCACACTGGGTTTGGGTCGGGTCCGTGAACGCCCCCTAAATGGCCCTGCTAGATGGGGAAGAGGGTGAAACACCCTCCGATCCCCTGCTCCTCATTCTGAGATGCACCTATATGAGTTCTATAATTTGGAGGAAAGATCATGATGAGGACCTGCTGGAGAAAGGACCTATACTGTTAGGCAATTCAGAAAAGACTGTAATTATATAGCGACGCATTATAGACGCACTGACATGTTACGCATGTCACCGCATGTCTTATTCAGAATGGTCAGCACATGAAAGGACCGACTGACCTGCCCAACGTGCCCGACCAGGCGTCCACGGTGTCAGCCGCTGAAGCCGACCTTTTGATGCTCCGTTTGGAGGACGAGCGGTGAGAAGCTCTGAGTCTCTCCTCAAATGAATGGGTGAATAACGCATGGATAGACTCTTTGAGAAGGTGATTGGAGGCATAATTTTTTGAGGGTCCAGTGGTACCTTGCCACCTCGGTGGCAGTGGATCTCTTGGGATAGAGCGTCCTCATCGTCCCGGTTGACTGGTCCATGTTCCTTCATTGCCTGGAAGCTCTTCCATAGGAACAGACACAGAGACTGGATGTGGATCACAGCAGGGCTGAGACCAGACACCAGCAGGCTGACTGGGCAGCCAGGGCCAAATGAAGAGGAACAAGGTGTGTATATAGATGGACGGAGGAGTTTGGCCATGACATGTATAAACGCTTTGGAATATGGATAGGGAGCAGCCAAGCTCGTTTAGCGCCTCAATCTGTGGTTCTTGTTCATCTCCACTGGTCCAAAGTGGTAAAGCTTCATGATTTCAAGATATTTCAAGTGTAGTTGTTGTTCTCTCTATGGACCCATCCCTCCTCCACGTCTTAACCACCACATGGGCCCAAGACATGATTCATTATTCCCCCTTCCGAGTTCTCGGTCGCCCACTGCCGAGTCGCTCCCCCCCCGCGGAGAGATTGTGACCTGGAGACCGAGTCTACTCGGCGGGCGTAGTCCATAGGATTCCCACTTCCAGACATCCATCTCCCAGACACGACCTGTCTGAGACTGCCATATGGGCCGATCAGGCCAGGGGTGGTGGTTTGGGGGGTCAATGTAGGCATATAGTATGGCAGTCCCATGGAGTGTCTGGGATATGGTCCATGGTTCATTCTTCCATATTAAAGACACTGCTTGGACAAAATCGTTTGATGAGAGGATCTCCTGGGTCGACGGCCGGAGCTGGTGTCGTCTCTTGGGCAGCACCGGATGAGCCGGGATGATGATGGAAGCCACACTCGGTCACCCCGGAAAAGCTCCAGATATGATATAATGATACATAATAGAAACATATAGAAACCACAGTTTCCCCAAGAAAATTGTCTTGAGAAGAACAGTCTTGAAGAGATGTTTGCTTTTTGATTTGAAGTCAACCAACTATTAACAATAGTAGTGTATCAATTATGTAATATTTTGCCTTTAGATGCCTTTAGTATCCTTTAGTCCATCATTTGTTTACAAGAGTCAGCAAGACTTGATCATAACTCTGAGTGGACCCAGTTCATACTCTTTGGCATCCTACCGGAGTAGTTTCTGGAAATAATAGCAACCGTGCAACAGGTCCCTAGGTTTCTTCAGCTGAGCACCGCCCGCTCTTGGGCACTTGGATGGAAGGTCCAGGTGGCGCAACACACGATCACTTTAGTCCGTCCGTGAGCGTAGAAGATAGTCTAATATAGTCTAATTAGTAATTAGTAATTTGACATCATTTGATATGTGTAAGATCTGCAGGGAACTGGCGAACGTTTATGTGTATTTTAGGATACAACTTGAGGCACCTTTTAGACCGGGCCACGACCATGCACGAGATGCAGGCTGAGCAAAGTGATTGTGAACCTATATGTGGTTGCAATCTGCAGCTGAGTTGCCAACCACCCAAACTTGAGCAGAAGATGCACAGTGTCGGGGGTCGACTATCGGAAAACCTCGAGTAGGCATTGAAGAATCGTGATAGCAGTTGCCGTATCATTTGTTGTTGCCCTGTCTACATGGGTTGAGGGATTACTGTTTGTTAAGCGATTGCCGCAGTACTGGGAAAGTAATGTTAGGTGCATGATAAACTCATACTTTGCGAATCTCTGCGATCTGTCACATATTTCTCAAGCCAAAGATCCCCCAAAGCCATACCTGTGAAAAAGGAGATGACGAGATCCCGTAGTTTGAGGGTGTCTTTCAGGTCGAGACAGACCATTGACAGCTGACAGAAGTGGATTCCCCGCAGTCTCCGTGCCACACATGCAGCTGTCTCCGTGCCACTAGTGGACTCGGAGACCCGTCGAATCACCACTCACCGAATGGGCCTGGGCTGGGCCTATGGGACGCGAGGTCAGTGAAGCTGCGACAGAATCCGCACAACGTGCACGAGTGGCTTCAGCGTGCCAAGCTCTACAAGGACGACTGGTTCGTTATGCGGACGGGCCGGTAGGGTTTGTGTGGAAGGAGCGGCTCAGGGATGCTAGGGGTTCAGGTAAGGAGGTGTTTGTTTGCAAGTGAAGGTGAGAAGATGCAAGAAGTACCAGGGTGCATAAGACATCAACCACACTCCATCAAAGCCATTTCAAAGATGACACGCCAAGGTGACCCAAGCCCGTCGACCTCATGCTCTTTTGTTCCAGGTCCCACAGATGTTTTGGCTTAGAGACGTGATCCTCTGAGATCCAAGCGGAGGACACGCCGGAGAAGGTCATTCGATGCTTCACGGAAGCAGTCGGAGGACCCGAAGCGAGCAGGATGGCTGAGGCTTGAAAACCACTGGCTTAAGTGTTTCCAGAGTGGAGAGCAGTGGCTTCGCAGTGCCTCTCTTTACGGAGCAAGGTATCGTTTGAACGGGCAGTGGTATGCTAGCTAAACCGGAGCATTGGTGATGAACCCGAAGACGTCACATCGAATCACCAGTGAATTAGAGATCTATGATCACTATGATCTATGCAATTGACCAATTTGGTTACACTCTCCCATTGGACCAGCAATGGAAGATGTATGATCAATCACCCCAGCAGAAGGTGTACAAAGTTTTGGATCCTCAATTTTGACACCATGCCAACTATGCCTGACTAAACTATTTTGGGCGGGAAGGGAGAACTTCCTTAGATGCAACTTCATGGGTGGATGCAACTTAGTTGGCAGTATTGTCTTTGAGAATGGAGTAAACTTGTGTCCACCAGAGGTGGCTTTATTCTAGAAATCAAGAAACTTGAAAAAAAATGCCCCAAAAAACAAACCAAAAAAGCACCAGCAAAACAAAGAGCAACCAAGAAAGCACCAAAAAATCAACCAAAAGTGCAACCAAAAAAGCACAAGCAAAAAAAAAGCAACCAAGAAAGCAAACAAAGAAAAACAATAAAACAGCAACCAAAAAAAACACAAGCAACACACAGAGGGTAGTTTGGAGGGGCCGGGTAGGGTTAGTAATGGACAAGGGTCTTTTCTGGTGCCGGGTCAAGTGTCGCACTTTTGGTCGCTTTTTTTTCTGGTGCCGGGTCAAATGTCGCACTTTTGGTCGCTTTTTTCCTGGTGCCGAGTCAAATGTCGCACTTTTGGTCGCTGTTTCTTTCCGGCGCCGGGTCAGAAGCCGCACTTTTGGTTGCTTTTTTCCCATTTTTTCCGGGGCCGCACTTTTGGGTCGCTTTTTTTCGCTGTTTTTGTCGCTTTATTTCTGTGTTTTTTTTGCCAAAAAATAAGAAAGCGAAAAAGGAGCCAAAACAAAAAGCGGAAAAAAAGCGACCAAAAGTGCGACCGTTTACCCGGCGCCGGAAAACATGTGGAAAAAAAGCGACCAAAAGTGCACCAGAAAGTGGACCCTCCCTCAAAAGTGCGCTAGAAAGCGCGCCAGAACGTGGACCCTTCCAAAAAGTGCGCCAGAAAGCCCGGCTGAGTTGTTCCATTTTTGCTTGCAATTTTGTTTTTGTTTTTTACTTTTATGATTGCTTTTGTTCTTTTGGTTGCATTTTGTGATTGCTTTGTTTGCTTGTTTTTTCAAGATGCTAAACTTCTAGAATAAAGGTGTCTGGCAGACACAAGAGTAAACATGCTGCAGGGCCAAATCTGGATCATCATTGCTCAATTTGGTGCTTCAGTGCCACCGGTCTGTAGAAGTCACTTACTCGGTCTGTGAACAGTCCCAGTTGCTTCGGCGTCTTCGGCGTCTCGGCCTCCCCTGCGTCCCAACGACCGGAAACACCGGCGCTTCTGCTTCTGCCGAGGTCATGACCGTGGACCCGCAGAAGGCGGAGGGGCGGCTGTGGACCCTTTGGGCGGCCTTTGCCAAGGCGATCGGCGAGGGATCCCATGCTGGAAGGGGTGGCCTCCCTCTCCAGGGGCGGAGGGTCGCCTATTTTTCACAGGGGTGGAGTGGAGAGAGAGTGTTTGGGAAACAGATGGGAAGATGGATTGATTGAGCAGGTCAGAGTTTTTGTTTGAACATCACCACGGTCAACCGGGTGATGGGGACTATGGTGAAAGTGAGATGGGGAGATGGACCAAATCAAAACCGTAGATGGACGAGTCCTGAAAAACTCTTGATGAGTTTGCTTGGGATGAGTGCCCTTCTGCAGAACATGGACCCTGAAAATACACCAGTGAAGCTGATAGTAATTCCTCTACAAGCCAGTTGTTTTGAGAGTGCATGTTAATCTGCAGGACGGTATGTCAATTTGTTTGCGGGTTTGTTGTTGTGGAACACCAGCATTGCACAGTTGATGCACTCTTGCTGCGTGGCTGTTCTAACTGTTATACATTGAATCTTTCTGGAGGGGAGAATGGTGATACAGTGATATATCTATATATAATAGTTACATATAGTTTTTTCTTTATAATATTTTATATGATGTTATATGATGTCAAATGTATATGTTTGTCAGTCAAGTGGTTTCCACATGCTTTCATGGCTCAGCCTGGTTTGCGAATGTGTTAATGTGATATACCCGTGGCCCCCGTCTTTGGAAGGGCAGGGTGGCAGGTGAGACCAAACCTCCTAAACCCGCCACAATCAGAGTCTCACAGGGTCACGACAACATGAATAAGAGTTGCGTATCCATTATAGTCAACACCAGGAATATGAACCTCCCAGGTGGGATATGATCCCAGGTGTGAATTGTTCCACCCATGGGATCTGTTTGTTGTGGGTGTTTAACCTGGAGGTCCTCCTGTCACTAGGCATCTTCAATTGTTCCACCTGTTCGATTCCCAAGGGTTTCGCAGGCTTCTGAGCTTGACCAATGGCTGCATCCAGCGTCGCACGACGCCAGTTCTACGAGTCGCACGATGACATCGAGAACGCTCGGGTCATTTTCTCCAAGGCATCCTCGGGGAGAGCACCCGCCAGCCACCAAGAAAGGCTGGAAAAACCCGATGGTAAGGGAGCAATGGCAGCTTCTTCAGGAATGTTGGTAATGACTCATGACTCTGTTTGCGCAAACAAGCGTATACGTCATAATATATGAACAGCAAGCTCGGAGGTCGTTTCACATTTATGACTCTTGGAGGGAGTTCTCTCATTTCACCCTTTTCGGAACAACGAAGCCTTTCCAGGCCCTGCTTGGGGTAGTGGCCCATTGATCAGTCCTAACGGTTTTTTGAATCATGTTTTCTTTTCTCTCTTGACCGCTCTCTCAAAGCCTCCACTCTGTACATTGTTTGTTCCCTTCTGCTCCCACAGCCGTCTAATTCTTGATGCATTGGATATTCACGCGTGTTCGGTTGGCTTTGCGAATTGGAGTTTCTGCTGCAAAGTTTCAAGTGTCCCCAGGATGTCAAAGTGTTGAACCAGTAATTATGCCGATAGCTGTTACTGCGAAGTTTTGTATAAGCTATTTTTTGATTTACACTATATTGATCTACTGTATATGTATTTTGGTGTATCTATATAAACAAAAAGATCCAACAGGGCTCAAGAAAAACATGTTCATTTGGATGTGTTTGGTGTTGTGTTTCTTTGTTTTAAGAACATCAATGGCTTTTTCCCTGGCTGGACCTGCAGGACCTGCGCATTTTTGACGAATCACTGCGCAGATGACCGGCCACCCTCAGGCTACCCAGGTGAACTACCGTGGCGTGGACGATCTGGCCTCGGCGCGGGGTCGAGTTGGAGGGGTGGACTGGAGCTACGAAAGTGGATGCTTCGTTGAAAGACGGATGTTTTTCTTGGTCAGGCCATGTCAGGCTAAGGATGCTAAGGCAAAGGTGACTCTCAAGGGTTCTAGCCTGACGGGTGCAACGAGACTAAGGGAATAAGGGAATGAACCTAATATATATAAATCTAAAATATATATAAACCAAATAGTGAACCCCACGATAGATAAAGTCTTGAGATCCAGCCATTCCCTCATTTCTTGCCAGTCCCAGGAGTGAGAATGAATGTGAGGAGATCAGTTGTAAGATGTTGTAAAGGAGTTTGGAATGGGTATGTGCTGGGGTGGGGTGACCCCTCAACCAGAAGGTGTTGACATGGGTTCTTGTTTTTTTAGAACTATCGTGCTCTTTTCAGGGGCTTTGGGGGTCTTCTCACGCTAGCTGCTACGACAGACCCATATCGGTTCAATGGAGTTTGTCATCTCTTGATTCGAAACGCTTTTCAAGCATGTGCACACTTCCCCAAACCAACAGTTTAGTCACCTATTTCACCTATGTCGGAAGGCTTTTTCCACACACAACGCTGGCCCTCCCCTAAAACATAAATCCAAATCCGTGGCTGAAAACGTTCCCAGCTGAAGACACGATCCCAAAGGACCCGCCGAAAGCCAGGAATCGGTCGGTTGGGGTCTGCGGAAAAGAAACGGGTCGGACTCAGGGTGCCATTCTACGGTCACAGGGTCCATAGTTTTTGGGGAGTGTAACTGGATGTAACTGGTATAATCATGGTGTAACTGGATGTAACTGATGTAACTGGTATGATCTGGTATGTCAACTTGCAATTCTTTTGGGTGACAAAAGGAGGGATGCCCCCCCGGCTGGCAGGTCTGGTGTGAGTGGATCGAGATGGAGCTGCGGCACAAGGAGTTCGATGAAGCTTTGAAGGCCGAAATTGGAAATCGTCCCGTCGACTGGTGTACTAGTAGCTTATTAGCTTGCTCCGTTCGTAGCGATGCCCTTTGTTACTAGTAGCTTCTTGTTACTTGTTACTAGATAGAAATGCTACTACGGCCGATGTGGATGTCAGACCGGAGATTTGTGGCCACGCTTTTGGACCTCTGAGAGTCGTGTCGTGTGACTCGGTGAGATCACATCGGGGTATCGTTGGTGGTACTGGGGGACACCAACAACAAGTCACCAACAAGGCGATCCACTTCTCCCGGTCAGACCTGGTAAAACACTGGTCTGTCGGTCTGTTCCAGGTCCACCCGAGCTCCTCCGAGCTCCAGAAACCGCTTTTCGTCTTTCGGAAAGCGTTGGCTCGTCAGGTGGCCAGACAAGCCACCGGCCAGAAGAGGGCCGCGGCACTCAAGGAAGACAAGGCGAGGCATCTCTGTGCCAGGTCATCCTGCGCCAGGTCTTCCAGCCCGTGTGGGCAGTTCATCCATGTTGCTTTTGAGGGATGACAAATAACCAGGAGTTCAGTGCTTTACAGCAGCTTTAGGGTGTTTTGCATCAAGAAAAAATTGGTTCCTACAGGTGTTTTGCCCTTTGAACCTCCAGTTGGTTCAGCAAATTGGTCTTGCAGATTTGGCTGGAGTGAAACGGTGTGAGTCTTTCAATGAACAGGAGAGGTTCCTCCGAACACATCAAAGCGAATGCCTTTGCTTTGCCCCAAACCCTTTGAAGCCACTTTTTCCCCCCCCGGGTGCGGAGTTTTCCGCACCACCACCCACCACCCACTACCCACCAGCCACACCGCGCGCCCCAGCGCTCGCTCCCATTTGTGCACCGCACAAAGCTCCCATCGCACGGCGAAAGCGAGGATGTGGTGCAAAACCGCTTGTTTCGCTCCACCAAGCTTTGGTCCTTGTGCATTGACCTCGAAGAGTCCCCTGCTCAGACCGGCGTCGGCTGACCGTCGGCGGTTGGGGAAGAGCGAAGCCATGCGAAGCCATGCGAAGCCATGCGAAGCCATGCGAAGCCCAAAGCCTCCAAGCCGGTCGGACGGTAAAGTTAAAGTGTTTGATTCTGTTTTGATTTGTTGTTTTTTGAACGGATTATAAGGATACCAGAGTCGACGGGAAAGATGTTTTTGTGGTGGGGGGGGCTCCATTGCATGAGATGTACGCGACATGACTCCATTTTGTGGTGTATGAGTAAGTATACTACAGCAAGTTGCCAGTCATTAACTGTACACTGTAGGAGTAACCTCTGAAGAATGCCCTCAAACAAAGCGAGAGAAGTGCAAGTTGGCATGCAAAGGTGTTTATATAGATGCAAGAGCAGAGTTTCGTTTTGGAGCCACGTTTCTGAGATGGGGCAAAAACATGGTAACACGCCCGCCCAAGCAGCCGCATTCTTGGGACATGTTCTCTGTAAAAACACGGGAGTGTACGATTTGTGGGTCAACGGTTTCAACTCCATGGTCATTCCCAAGCAGCCCAGTAAGTCTGATATAGTCTGATAGTCCGCCCACCAGTGCCTGGCAGTGCCCTGCAGCTCAAGTTTCGTAAGGTAGACTCTTGATTTATAACCCCACCAATTGAATTGAAACACCTCTTTCCTGTTTTCTTTTTTGTTTGAATCAAGAATCTACATTGAGTATTCAACCTATGTGAGTTGCGTTCGTTTGCGCACCGAGGTCGCTTGGCACCACCGCTTCCACTCGGGCCATGCGCTTGGTGTTCGGACAAGAACGGCCCGTGTGAAGCGGACGTATAGCATGTAAGGACAGGTGACAGAGGTCCACCACATGGGTTCTATAGAGCAGGTTTGGACCCGCCCAGAAACCAGGTCCCAAATATATATTATATATACATGTAATATATATATATATAATATAATAGACCGTATAGTATACAAATATAGTTATACATGTATATAATAGTATATCATTGACAGTTACATCGACTTCTTGGGCCATTATAATGAGATTCTGTGAGTCAAAGGGTATACGGTGTTCCGTCAGTTGTTTTCCTTTGTGGACGGAAGTTCCTCGACCCCGACCCGATGTCTTCTCTCAATACGAACCCCCTTGTGGGATGGTCTATGTCCCGAACGAACCAGTGTCAGGAAGCCAGGTCCCTGCGGACACGGCAGAGATCCAGAGATCAATCCCTGAGCGGTCCCAAAACACTGATTTGGGGTGAAGGTGATAATATGTAATAATATCCATGTTCCCCGTTGCCCCCTGCAGAAGATTGATTTTGGGTGGGTGATACTTCTTCCACACCATCGGAAGATACAAGAGGTCCCAAGGATGCAGGGCCCCTCTGGGGCTGGAAGTATGATGCACATTGCTGAGATCTGAGATCGAAAGATTGCCACGGTCTGCAGATAGGCACCACATACGATCAATTGTGCCATTTGAGCTTACCTTTGCAGAAGGAGGAGATATGGTTCTAAGTTAGTTGCCTTATCCTTCTCCAGCCAACGCTGATAGACTTCCAGGGCGCCAAACCTTTGCCCCGGTCACCGAGTCTTGAAAAGTGTGGAACCATACCACTTGGGACCTTCTCGGCCATAAGGCTGCCTATGATGCTACTCTGGAATTCAAGGCCATTGGTGCTTGCAGCCACTTGTTTCTTTATGCCTGCAGATCCTTCCGGACTGGAAACATATGGTATGCAACACATCAAGAGGTTCTTTACTTGACTCACTAGCTGTGACGGGCGCCATGTGTTAGATTTGCGAGCATTTGGCTGGGTTCATGGTGTTTTCACCTGTTTTCAGCTTGAACTTGAGCTGAACCTGAACGCGAGTCCCAAACTGGTCGTGCAGTCGTCCGTGAGTTGATCCACTATCATGAGTCCCAAGACAGCGTAGGCCGTAGGCAGAGCCGTCAAACCTCCGTGTTGCAGGTGGCAACACCTTCCTTGATCCTGAGCTATGCCAGATTCTTGGAGGACTGGCTGGGGACACCTCCAACGGTCTTTTTTTGTCTGCTCTGCTAGGAGCAAGGACGCTACTAGGAGCAGCGACCTCGTCGCAGCGGCTGGGTGAACACCCGGCCACGTGAACACCTCGTCTCTAGCGTTGCCCGGCCATCGCGTGGTCCTCGCAGGATCGGAAATACTTTGAGGATGCCTTCAAAGTCTACGAGCGGGGCATCAAGGCACCCTGAAGAGTTGGTCGTAGTTAGTTTTACGGCAGAGCCGTGGGGTGGTCAACGCTGGAGCCGTTTGCTTTCCGGCGGAGCTACCCAATATCATAGAACATCTAAAACATCAACTGTTGTTGTATGACCCACCTGCAAAAGGGTGGGACCTTTTTGACGAAACATTTGTGTCCTTTGAAGCCCCAAAGGCCCAAAGGCAGTGAGATTTATGGCACCCAGGACATGTTGCAAGCAAGGATATATATATATATATGTCATTGTCTCACATCAATGACTAATGAGAAACAATTTGATTAGCTGACCCCCGCTCCCTTTGTAGACTTCGACCCGGTGATTGTTCCGGGTACCGGCGGTCCACGGATGGTTTGAGCTCGACGCAGGTGTTTGCGTGGCCACACGTGAGCGATATTTGGCCGGGTGGCCGAGCTCTGCAGGAGCTCTATGAAGAGATATGGTGCACCGGAAGAATGGTTGGGGCCAAAAAAACCATAAGCTGCCATGGATGTGGAGGAATATGCTCGTTCGAAGCACACCACAAGGTGGTAGGTTAGTTAGTAAAGTAACATCCCTGGTAGTTTGTTGACAAGTCAACCAGCGCCCTGACGTCTGTTTGTTTGTTGAAAGCTTTGTCAGATGCTTATCCCCTTGTCATCCCTTGTCCTGCAAAAAAGGTTGGGAAAGATCCCGTCCTTTTGTCCCAGTGTTCATTGTTTGTTTCAAAAGCTATTGAAAACGCAAACCCATGAGGAAGCAACAATGCCCCCGCAATCCTCCAGAAAACCGCAATGTATAACAGTATCATTGGCGATAGTGAAATCCTTCTTGTTACAAATTATCTCCCCAGGCTGACATACTTATCCAAGTTTGTGGAGCGCTATGGCGGGCGTAAGCGGGGGGGGCCTGGCGTCGACGCCGCGTCTACGCCGCGGGGAGGTGTGAGGTGTGTGGAGTCGTTGATGGACCTGTTTGGTGCTTGGAGTCGTTGTCGTTGGCGCAAATACAACATCTATACATATTGCATGTATATCAATGAAGACATCTTCTAAGAGATGTAAATAACTGTAAATATATTATATTCATATATACTTACGTTATTAGCTATATTATATAAACTATATGTAGCATGATGTATCTAATTAATTGTCATATCAAGAACTGCCTAAAGACACTAATTGACATGACCGGACGAGACTATTTTTGCTCCGGCTTCTTGGATCATCGTTCACGTCCCCATGGATAGGCTCGAGCGGGCGAGAGACCTCTTCGAGCAAGCTGTGGAGAAGGCCACAGTGGATCGTCCACGCGGTTGGCTTCTGGAAAATCACTGGGCATGGTGCAACAAAGTTGTTTCAGGTGGTGCATTGCTGTTTCAGTTGCCAAATTCTATCGACTTTGGGACCTGGGATGATACTTGGAGGTTCGTTTTTGGCAAAACCACTTGCATGTAACTTACAACTAACTTGTAGTTTAGGTTATAACCTATTGCAAGTATAGCCAACTCAGCTAACTTTGTAAGTGCAAGTCAGAGTACTCATAAGTATATTAAAACTTTTGAACTACTTAGTAACTTTGTCAAGTATTTTGTCGAAACGCTGACAAAAACTGCTGTTTTAAACTTACAAGTTACTTAGGGAACTTAATTTTTTCAAGGTTTCAAAAAGTACAATTTGCTTTCTTTCGCGAAAAGTTTTCATTTAGCAGTGTGTTTCTTTCAAGCAATTTTGAATGTGAAAAGTAAATTTTATAGCATGTGTACAAATGTTTAGGTTTTGTATAGTGTGCGCATATATACATTCACGCGCGGTGACTAGAGAAACACATATTGTTTTTCAATCTGCGGCGGTTGCTTGAACCGCCAAGTAGAATATATGGTGTTCAACTGTTCAACATTGTGTTCTTCAATCTGGTGCGGTTCTTTGAACCGCCAAGTAGAATCGTATCATCCTTCATTGTACAGTGTTGTTTGGTTCTTATGTCTTGTTCTTGCAGGACAATTTTGGCTTGGGTTTGTTTTTTGTCATGGCTTTCGAGCGGCTAAAAGCGCTTGATCCCTACCTGGAGCAGCTGAAGGGCGCTGAAAATTTTGGGCGGCAAACATCGTTCATACAGGAGTCACATGTCACATGTGTAAAGAATGTGTAAGTATGTGCAAGTATGTGTAAGTAAAAACACACATCGACTTACACATGTGTAAGTGGGTTTCTGGTTTAACTTACACATGTGTAAGTCGGTTTCGGGTTTGACTTACACATGTGTAAGTCGATGGTTGTTTTTATTTACACATACTTACACATACTTACACAAAATTACACACTCTTACACATTGGTTCCGTCACGTGTCAAAATGCGGTCCCATGGATCGCATGTGCACGGAACATGATTCATTTGTTCCGTCAGACCGTCACAGTTCAAAATGCGGTCCCATGGATCGCACGGAACATGAGATGATTGAGGTGGTTTTTCAAGAGTCCCTGTTTGAACATATTCACGATTCAATTCGTGAACATGTGTCATCAACAATTGGAACGTCTGCTGTAGAAGATCAGAGCCCAAAAGCCCAAAGCCTGACATCTCAATGAGCCGCCAACATGTGTACTTGTCTAAGAGATTGGAGCACTGATTGGCCACTGTGCCTTTTTTTAACATTCCCATGGAACAATAGCACATTGCTGCGGTTTGTATGATGTGCTGTTTTTTGTATCAAAGAGTGCCTTGATCTAAAAGATCGGGAAGAGTATACATACATGTGCAGGACAAGTTATAATGTTTTCAAAACAATTTTAGAAAATTTGAAAATA